TATTCTAAAGTGACAATAAAAAGCTTGATTCTGAAAGGTTTGAATGAGCATACACATGGGATTTTCTGCACTAAGTACAATTCTAGACAATTTGACATGCTTTTTAATGGCTTTAGGTATAGAGGTTACATTAGGTTTTCTATATCCTGTTAAGTCATTTGCCACTATGTTTTTCTCAAAAAGTCCCCCATTTCTTTGATTATTTTCTATAAAATTTTTAAAAAATCAATGCTTTTATTCAGAGAAAAAATCAAGAGAAAGAACAAATCTTTTAGACAATCACATATTAACACTGGGTATGGCCAAATCTGTAGAAAAATGATTTAGCTACATATATATGTGTATATATAGGCTTCTCTTATATCTCAACTGGTAAAGAATCTGCCTGCAATGCAGGAGACCCCGGTTCAATTCCTGGGTTGGGACGATCCCCTGCAGGAGGGCATGGCAAACCACTCCAGTATTCTTGACTGGAGAACCCCATGGACAGAAGAGCCTGGTGGGCTACAGTTTATGGGGTTGCAAGAGTCAGACAGGACTTAGCAACTAAATCACCATTACCACAACTATATATATATATATACACACACACACATACATATATGTGTATATATATATATATGTAATTTCTAACAGTTATCACATAGTACTGATGTTTTTAGAAAAATTGGGAGCTTATTCATTTTCTATATGCTACAGTCTCTGAGTTTCTCAATATTTTCATCCTTTTGCTGTCAACAGGATCAATTTTGTTATTCTGTAGGATGTTTTAAACTATATTAAAACTGAGCTAGTCCATTGTGCTGCTTTCTGTACTCTCCCTGCCTAGTAAGTGGTTAATGACTTGGTCTCGTGGTTTAAAAAATAAATTATTAAAAATAAATAAATTAAATAAATTATTAACTCTGAGTCTATTAAGATAAGTGAATATAGAATGGCCAGGCATTCTTAGGTATGCATATTTTTATGTATGTTTAAAGTCATCTGAATGTTACTTTTTATTCTCCTCTCAAATGTGAATTTTCCCTGTTCCTCTGGATATCTTCCATGCTTATGGTTGTAAATCATTAATCTTGCCTTTATAACTTTACTACCTCTTGAACCATTGCTAAGAGACAATGTTATGCAGATGACTTTTGACTAGTCCTTGGTATCACCCCTTCACAACTTCACACTGTAAAAAATTATATTTCTTACAAAATTTAAATGAATGTATATCAGAAATATAAGAAATACCAGTGCCATAATTATAAGGGAAATATATACCTAAAGGAAATTATATAACTTTGTTTTTGTTTTCCTTCAAACAATTCTGATAACAACAAAAATTCACAAATTGTCAATTCTTTTAGAGGTTGCTTTTTTTTTTTTAAATAAAACTAATTAACCAGTATGAGAGAGTTAACTAACACTAAATTTTCTGCAATCTGCTTTAAGAATGAATACCATACTATCAGAAAACAAACTGAAACTGAGGATTAAGTAGGGGAAAATGTACACCCTCTGGAGTACATTCTGTGGTAAATATGAAAATAAGAGTGTTTAGTCGCTCAGTCATGTCTGACTCTTTGTAACCTCATGGACTGTAGTCTACCAGGCTCCTTTGTCCACGGAATTCTCCTGGCAAGAATATTGGTGTGGGTATCCATTTCCTTCTCCAGGGGTTCTTCCCAACCCAGGGACTGAACCTTGGTCTCATACATTGGCAGGCGGAGTCTTTACCCTCTGAGCCAGCAGGGAGGCCCTTCCATGGTAAATATAGATTCATCCTAACAATCTGATGTTGGGAAAGATAGGAGGCAAGAGGAGAAAGGGATGACAGAGGATGAGATGGTTGGATGGCATCACCGACTCAATGGACATGAGTTTGAGTAAAATCCGGGAGTTGGCGATGGACAGGGAGGCCTGGCGTGCTGCAGTCCACGGGGTCGCAAAGAGTTGGACACGACGGAGCCACTGAACTGAACTGAACTGACAGTTTTCTGCCAATGAAATCTAAGCTACCTTGCCTTGCTCATTTGGGAGCACAACAGTTTGAACTGAAAGTCTTCCGTAGCAAAGGAAAGCAGTCCTGAATAAATGCACCATTTACTTTGGTTGATTTTCTTTTCTCTTTTTTTTTTTTTTACTTTAAACAATAATGAAGAGAAGTTTACTTTAGTCTGCTAGGTTTGTTTTCATGGGAATGTTTGCTTTACATATGCAAAAGCATCTCCCTATAGCATTAATATGGCATATTCATCTTCAAAGATGCTATGCTTTTTTATGCACTATAACAGCCAAGTCTGAAATGAAAGCTTTCAAGTCTGTTGACTCTGGAACTATTTTGATTTTTCCTTCCACGCTGCCATAAACGCCCTTTTTCTGATTTGACACCGAGAATAAAAAAGCAAACTCTGTCAGCATTAAGTCACCTAAGGAACAACACTGGTGTTTGTCTCGCTCGGAGTTTTCTAGCACCCTGGATATTCAGAAAAACTGAACTTACTGGACCCCAACCAAGCTTGCTATCTCTGACGGCCACTGTGCTGTAAATTTATCCCCCAAACTATGATTTTCGCCTGAATTGCTGCAGCTCCCTCAATAAAATGAGAACTCTTCCACAGAGTTTTCTGTCAGCTTCAACCTGGAGGTAAGATTTAGGAAGGTTGCCTGCCTTAGTCTACTGACAGAGAATGATTTTCCCACCGTCTTCAGAGCACCCTTCCTCAAATTCAGCGTTAAAAAAGCCTAAAACAGAGATGCTGGTAATCAAGCTTTACTATAATTGGCTCAGAAATGTTGTCTTTAGGCACTTTCATTTTTAAAAGTCCTGATAAGTCGGATCAGCAAGGACTGGGGTAGTTTCTTGTTCAGTAGCCTTCTAACATGCAGCCTAGCAATTCGGCAGTTATCTTCTCCCAGACTCATTAGTTTATGCTCTAAGTCACTCATTTGCAGATTTAAGTTTGAGTTTCTCAGGTTGAAAAATAGCTTCTCTATTCCACTTGAGCAAGGCCAACATTTCTTTGAACTGATACTTCAAAGAGTCTTGGCAAATGGGTATCACCATCTAGTGATGCTCTCTACCCATGCTTAGTATTGCTGCTCAAAAACCATTCCCATTTGATCAAATACTTATTGACTAAAATGAAGTTTTCATTGGTTAGAGTGTTGAGGACTTTATAAAGAGAGGTAAAAAGCAGATCAGAGAAATGAAAAGAGGAGTGGGTGATCAAACTCCCCAGTTCCTGGGCTTGCTACTTCCTGGTAAAATAGGAAAAGTCCGAAGCAAACCAAATGAACTGGTGACCCTAGTCTTTTATTTTATGTACTGTTATTTTAAAATTTAACTTAATTTCCATTTATTTCATTTTATTTTATTTTATTCTGCTTTATTTTATTTTATCTCAGTCTTACTGAGGGAGGTGTGATTGACAAAAACTGCATGTATTTAAAGTACACAATATGTTGTTTTGATATACACTGTGAAATCATTGGTACAAGCAAGCTAATTACCATATCTATCATCCCACATAGTTACCTTTTCAATGGTATTGTATACTTGAAATTGGTTACCCTAATTCTTAAGTGCCCTCAAAATTAACTCTATCCCAATTAGTTAGGAAAAATTAGCATTTGCCCTTTCAGCAAATAAAATACCTAAATAGGAATAAAATAATATTTCCATCTCTCAATTCCACTAACTAGCAAGCAGAGTTGCAACCTATCTCTTTTCTTAATTTAAATATTCTCAAAAAGAAATTTTCAAATTAAATTATTGCTAAACAGATGAAAGACACTCTACACTGATTTAAATTCTAAGTCTATTCCACATACCAGTGCGGACACATACTTCAGAATCCAGACTAAGGGAGCCCTTTTCTTCTGTTTTTCCTCTATCGAGTTCCCAAGACCATGGTACAAAAGATATGGATTTGTTTGAATGTCACTTCAAGAGGAAAGGAAAAAAAACAAACTGATATTTTATAGGCTATCAGTTTTGACAGTGAAAGTAAAGACTTTACCCTCCCTGTTGCTACTGCCTTAAGGTATACTTGTAGAAAATAAACAAAAATTGTTTCCACAGGTAAAGCTTAGGTAATAAAAAATAAAGCAACATCTGTGTTAAAGGAAACTCTTAGAAAGTTAAGTCTGCATAGTTTGACCTGAAAACAGGTCAAACTTGAGTTACATGGCCACCTGTCACAACTGTGTTCCAGATTCTTCTAAAACAGTAGGAGTTTGTCACATAAATGGAATGTGCAGGATTTAAATTATTGGAGACCAGGAGGCCACCCCAACGAGTGTGAAAGTTTTCAAAACAGAAATGACAGGGCTCAGTGTCTCCGAAAGCTATGTAATACTCCCTGTTGGCAGAATTCCTATAGCAAGACTGAGGATTAAAATGACAATATTGTCACTGGATGTCTAACAAGTTAAATTGCACAAGTTAAATAAGACTAAATTTGTGAGTACCCACCTTGTGGATACATACATCATTTGTCAGTGATATGGACAGATTACTGAGTCAGGTTTTTGTGTGAACATAGTAGGAGATCAGTTAGATGCCACCACTGGAGGTCCTAACCAAGGTATTTTTCTTAAATACATTCTTTGTCTTATCATAAAGACCGGGGGGGGGGGGGGCGTCCCAGGTGGCTCAGAGGTAAAGAATCTGCCTACGAATACAGGAGACACTGGAGACGTGGTTTCTATCCCTGGGTTGGGAAGATTCCCTGGAGAAGGGAAAGGCAATCCGTCCTGTATTCTTGCCTGAGAAATCCCACGGGCAGAGGGGCCAGTGGGCTACAGTCTGTGGGGTCACAAAGAGTAGATACCAACAGTAGGTCACAAAGAAGAGGCAGGCACGCAACCACCAGGAGAGGCTGCAATTCCACAATTCATGCCCCCATCCCTCAAGGGCTGCCTCCTCCTATATTTCTCTTTCAAAATACCTTAGAAAGGTGACAATCACTCTTAATGACACTCAGAGTCATTTGGTCTAAGAAAGTACTTACTTTTTGCTCTCTTCACTGTCTTCTCAGAAACCTCATGGTTCCCAGTGTTGCAAAAACTAATACCTAAGGATTAGGGCATGAGCAAGAAGGAACAGTAAGATCTGTAACTCCATCTGAGAAATCTTTTACACGCCCCATCCCTTATCACCACTGTTTTCCGAAGTCCAAGTTCCTTATCTAGTTTCAGCTGTGGCTCCTCCCACATGGGACGCCCCTCAGCCTACAGTGTGCTGTATGTTGAGTTTCTCTGCTTGGTCCTATTAAAACACCTAGTTCACATTTTATCTTGGACCAGGTTTTTACTTCCTGAGATACCCTTTTCACATTTCTTTTATCCTCAAATCCTTTCTTTTTCTTTTTTTTTTAATGAAAACCTTATTTTTTAAATTATTTTTTAAGTTACTTTTTATTTTATATGGGGATATAGTTGATTTAAAATGCTGTGTTAATTTCAGGTGTATAGCTAAGTGACTGAGTTATATATATGTGTACAGTGCTAGGCACTTCACTTGTGTCCAACTCTTTGCGACCCCATGGACTGTAGCTGACCAGGCTCTTCTGTCCATGGGATTCTCCAGGCAAGAATACTGGAGTGGGTTGCCATTTCTTATTCCAGGGGATCTTCCCCACCAAGGGATCCAGCACATGCTTCTTGAGTTTCTTGCATTGGCAGGTGGATTCTTTACTATTAGCACCACCTGGAAGCCCAGTTATACATATATATATAGCATTCTTTTTTGGATTATTTTTCTATATCGGTTATTAAAGAATACTAAGTAGAGTTCCCTATGCTATACAGTGTGTTCTTGTTTACTGTTTATTTTATATATTGCTATTGTTCAGTTGCTAAGTCATGTCTGACTCTTTGAGACTCCATGGACTGCAGTCCACCAGGCTCCTTTGTCCATGGGATTTATGTATACGATAATTTATCCTTCCCCCCAGCTTTCCCCTTTGGTAACCATAAGTGTGTTTTCAAAATCTGTGAGTCTTTCTCTTTTGTAAATATGTTCATTTGTATCATCTTTTTAGATTCCACATGTAGGTGATATCATACAATATTTGTCTTTCTCTGTGTGGCTTACTTCACTTGATATGATAATCTCTAGATTGATCCATGTTGCTGCAAATGGCATTATTTCATTCTTTTTTATGACCAAGTAATATTCCACGGCACACATTTGCTTTATACATTCTGTATCCATATCTTCTTCATCCATTCTTTTGTTGATGGACATTTAGGTTGCTTCCAGGTCTTGACTATTGCAAGTAGTGCTTTGAACACTGGGGTGTTTTTATCTTTTCAAATTATGATTTTTTTTTAAAGATCAAACTCATTATCTCCCAGGGTTACTTCTTTTCCCATGTTTTCTTAGTTTTTTCATGATAATAATTGCTTCATTTATGCTTGTTAAATGTAATAAATGGTCACATCAGAATATTAAGAAAAAATTAATAGCATACATTAAATTTTATTATGTACATACTCTGCATATACACAATCTTACGTGTTCTGTAAATTTACCACACAAGAAAAATCACTGGTTACATGTATTTATATCTTCTTAGCCTATATGTGTGTGTGTGTGTGTGTGTGTGTGTTTCTCTTATGCTGTTTGGCAAACAGTGTTCAGGCAGATTACAAACTTATTGTCAACACTCATCTAGATCATCTGTGCTTTGAGATGCTTTGTGACACGCAGAAGTCAGAGCTAGAAGGAGCCTTGGAAATGAGAATCCAGCTACTTCTCTTACGAATGAGTGAAGTGAGGATGAGAGATGGTCACTGCTTCACCCTAGATCATGCAGTTTGTAAGGAGCAGCATTAGAATTTGATTCACATAAGGCCAGCTCTTTCAGTTACAGAGATTGTGTGACATTCAGGCGAGCCTGCATATCACCTAGCTGTGCACCAGGATTCAGGGCCGCAGCTTTTGAAGAAAGGGGCAGAAAGACAGGATCCACTCACGGTGAGCCTGCAGTGTTCTGAAGCCACAGGTAGCAGGAGGTGGTAAGGAACCTGGGAATAGGAGAGTTTCTAACTCAACAGACAGCACTGTGGAGACAAGAAGTAGGGGGCCTGAACCCAGGCTTACTTGCCAAGCTGATGCTCTTTTCAGGACCTTTGGTTTCCCACTGCATCTTTCTTCCTAATACTACATATTTTTAAAAAATTACTTCAAGTTAGCTATTTCTCTATAATTTGATACTATATGCCATACACATGCATATATATGTATATATACATATACATATATATGAAGCACACACATATATATATAAATTCCACATATATATGAAATCTCTCCCAATAGCATGATTATTAACTTCTGTAGCCTGATAAAAAGGTATAACAAAATAAGCAATGGACTGGATTGATTATTGGAGGGCACACTTGAAAAGAAGAACTGACAGTATGTCAGCAATCATTTACTGAAATGATTGGCTGTGACCATGGTCTTCATCTCACCTCCTCAGTATGCAGTAAATTGCCTTATATTCTGAAAATATTTGTTTAAATTAGCTTTTATGCCACACAATAGGAAATGCCAGTATTTGAGATAAAATAAAAGCAACAATATAATTTGCTCTACCTTGTATTAAGTGTGATTTTGATCAGCCAAATTCAAACATGAGTAAGGGAAACATTCATGTAAATTAGAGAAAATGATAGTATGGAGATCAAAAGCAAAGATCTTGCAATTACCAAGCTTAAACCAAGGATGGAATCTACTATTGACACTTACTAACGTGTGATTGTCAGAAAACTCATCTATAAAATAGAAATGATAATACTACTTTTTAAGTGTATTCTAAAAGGTAAAAAAATAATAATAATAATGCATGGTATGACATATAGCCAGCACTCAATAATTGTTAGCTACATTATTGAGGTACTGTACTCTTAATTTTGTGTTTTATTCTCTTTATAGAATATGACTCTCTGCTGATAACTGGGAGACTTGTTTAAGGTGATTCTCATGAACAACTAAGGAGAAATTCTGTTTCCCAAAGCCTATTTCAAGAGGTTTTTCTGAAGGTTTCTGTTGACATACGTAACTTTGATTCTTGTGAGAGTTGCTAACTAGCATTATGATTCAGAAAATAAGAGAAAAGGATGTTTGGCTTCCAAATTAAAACTGGGATATCTTATTTGAAATAAAGTGTTAAAATATAAATGCCATCAGAAAAATGTTTCCATAACTTCCTGCATCTCAAACTGGAAACAGTTACTCATTTCCCACAAAAGCAGGACAGCCTGTTAACACTGCCTTCCTGGAGCAACTGTGGAAAGGAGGAATGCGATAATTTGTGGGAGATTTCATTTGAGTTTCGGGGAGCTTCAACCAGCCACCTGAATAAGCTTAATTACTTTGTGGATGAGCAAAAAGATTAATAAGAAGATCAGTGACTGGCAGCAACACCATTACTGATATGACATATTAAGGTGATGCCGCTTCTCTCAACAACCTCCCTTCTCCCCACACCTAGACCTTGGAGAATGATGATCCCAAATGTGCAGAGTAGAGAACGGGCCTTATCAGGCCGATGAATGAATTAACTAAAATTTTGAGGAGAGAGTAAAATCAGGAGCATTCCACTTACTGGGTGAATAAAATTATTGTGTATCTGTGGCCTGGACTGTGCTGCTGCTTTTAAAAGGGAGGAAACACTGTATGTCTCATGACATAGTAAGTCTTGCTAAGTGAAATAAAGAGAACAGTGTTATGAAATGATAGCTTTTGTTTTTGTAAAGTAGGAGGGATAATATAAAGAAACATATTTTCTTAGATAAGAGCATAAAATATCTCCAGAGGAATATGTAAGAAATTGCTAATATTGGTGGCTTCCATAGATAGGGCATGAATGCCTGGGGAATGTGCATGGCAGGGAGACTTCACTGAATATTTTTCACATTTTGAACAATGTGACAGCCCTGCTTATTGAAAATTAAATGCAATTAAAGCAAAAGTAAAAGCTGCTTTTATACTTTTTCTCAAACACCATTATTGTCGATGCAGTTACTGCCAATTGCCTCTTCTCTGTTTTCTCCTAAATATCTTGGTGAATGCTATATGTCTCAAAGGATTTCTTTATCATCACTTTACAAACTGTAGCCCCTTCTAGTAAAAATGTCACTGAGGCCTCTGGAAGCTATATATAATTCAAGTATTAAATTTGCATCAACATTTCATATCATAATCTTGATATTTACCTATATTTTTCAGCCTGACGTTTTATGAAGCTTTCTCCTTTTCTGAAGAAGCAGAGTGTGGGTCTTCCAAGACCTTGAACTAAGATTTACTTTCTTTGTCCTGGTTTGACCCATTTCTGCATCTTGGAGACTTGCTAACTCTATGCCCTTGAGGATGAGAAAAAATAAATCCTTGCAGGTTCTTGGAATATAAATTACAAGGAGGTGAACAAGATGAGTGTGGTATAGAAAATTGACTTCCTTTTCCCTGATGTAAGCTTTCAGAAGTCTTCGGTTATTTTTTCCCTAACCCATGAATCAAAAAGTGAGGAATTGAGACAATATTTCAACTAGTGCATCATTTGTTTATTTCATAACATTTTGGATAATTATTTTAAACTCTTTTCAGGGAGGTACTGTTTAGAAAAGGAGAGAACATATTCATTCCCTAGAGCATCAGAGAATGTGGGAAAAAGTTCAGTTATTTGTTACAAAAAATAATCACACTTCAAATATGTATATATGCATATATGTGTGTGTGTGTGTGCATGTGTATATGTGCAATCTGACTGGAATATGTATGGAAATTCCGCAGTCTGCATCACAGGAATGTAAACTGCCCCCCATTGTTTGATGCTTCCCCTCAGCCTGTGGTGCACATCTGTGTACACTTCTTCAGTGTCAGGAATTCACAAATGTGAGTTTTGAAAGTAAGCTGTTGCATGAGAAATAATACATTATGTCAGAAAATAATTGCTATTGGTATGTTAAACTCTTCGTAGAATCCTCAGATATAATTATTTTCACCTGCTGAAAGCATATGTGAGATAGATAAGTCAAGAACCATTGACTAAGTACCTACTCTGTG